AACTGATGTAGCCACCTGGCTTAAGATTAAAGAAGGAAAGAGTAACGTGAGTGTCCTGGGGAGAAGGGGTAACTGGACCCAGCTACCACTGGTCCTCATCTATATGGATTCGAGGTAGGGATTCAGATACTTGATACTCTGGGATACCAGGACGGGTCCCTTGTCCTCATAGCATGTTCTGAAAGACCTCTGGGTCCAAGGATCAGTTCCCAAAGAAGCCGTGACCAGGGCTGCTGAACAGAGAGGGGACATGCAGCACCCCAAACCTGGGTGCTCCTGAGGCTGAGGCAGCCTGTGGCTTGTGTCCAAGCAGGGGGTACAGGATTTGTGTAGTGGAGACTATTTCAGCCCTATGTGAGTGAAAATACTCAACTCTATGCAAACGCAGCCCTGAAAGAGTAGCTCCCATGTAGGACTAAGAAAACTGATGGAACGGGCTGCCCCTGGGAGCCTGCTGAATAGCAATGGACCCTCAGCTGGATGCTTGGACCCCTCCTTTTTGACCCTGAGGACTGTTTGTTGCCATTGGACATAAAGTCATACCTGGGTCTTTTCACAGCTGCTGACCTTAGAGTCCCTGGTATAGGGCCCTGGGGACCAAGTCCCTCAGTTCAAATTCTGTCTTTACTGTTCTAGAAGGATGACTTAGAATAAGTGTCCCGACCTTCCTGGTCTTCAGTGTCCTTATCAGCAGAATGGGGGTATTGATGGGTACCTTATAGGGCTGCTGTGGGACTAGTGGGAAAAGACAGCAAAGCTCAGGAACTGTGTACAGTGAATCTTGAGTAGATGCTAGTCATGATGTATTTCATTGTCATTGTTGTTCTTGTAATCTAGGGGATAGAGAGACTTTGGGAAATTCCAGTTTCTCCTTTTCCCCTCTGCTTTGGAAAGTCTGAGATTTTAGTCTATGATTATCACTAATTTTTATCTTTTATAGCCATCCATCTCCCTGTGGATTTGGGGAGAGCTGACCTTCATGTTCATGACTGTGTTGCTGATGACCCAAGAGTAATCTTGCCTGGTTTGAGGGATGTTGAACTCTGATTCTCACCTATGTTGGCCAGTCTTGGTGTGTGCACATGGAGTGTGAGTAGGTGTGTGCGGTGTGGAGGATGAAGCTTGGATTTGGGACTATTCCATCTTCTTTCTCATTTTCTCACTCTTAGACTTGGGGAATCTAAAAAATGTGTTAAGGACAGCAAGGCACCCACCAAAGTGATCATCATCCCCATCACGAGCACATCCCCATCACAGGCATCTACTTCAAGGATGGCAAGTGCATAGCCCTCAGGTGAAGAGAAGCAGGTTCTAGTCCTGACTCTCAATGACTGGCCTTGTAACTCTGAGTAAGTCAATTAATCTCTCTCTATTCCACTTTCTTCACCTAAGAAATGGGAAAAAGAATGTTACTCCAACCTTTACAACCAATGTTGTGTTAGGATAAGAATGTACATTTGGAGAATAATTTAGACTTCACAAAATTCATTTCTCATACATTTTTCACTTTGAATCCAGTAAGTGCCCTGTGGGCCATGTTGTAAAGGCCCTCACTTTGCAGGTAGGAAAAGTGGGCATCTGAAGGGTTAATTACGTATGAATTCACAGAGCAAGCAAATGGGCAACCTAGGTTTTTAATCCAAGTCTATTGGTCATCCTGTCTTTTCTACACCAACCTGACCCAATCCTTACCTCGCAAGAAAACACAATCTATAAGAAGCATTACAGTGCCAGGGTTTATATTGTTGATTAGGTTTTTGATTTTCCCGTGGGTTTTCTGACGGATAAACTCATTGATCTGCTTCCGAGTATTTTCCAAATTCTGAAAGCTGGTGAGGACCGTGTCTGCATTGTACATTTTCTTGATATCTGTCATGAATTTCTTCTGTGGCCGCAACTCCCGGTCCATGAACAGGGCGTTCCTGAGGGCCAGCTCAACTTCCTGGTTCTTCTGGTTCAACACGTGGATGAGGTAATGGAAACCTTTGTGAAGCTCTTTCTCTGGCATATTCCTGTAGTTGAAGCCTTGCTTGATCTCAGCCAGCGTGGAGTCCTGGGCACCCAGAGACAGTATGGAAAAGGCGATACCGATGCCCAAGGGTGAGAAGAAGATGTTCTTGTTAGGGTCACCGGCGGCCAGCTTCCTGTACAGCTTTAAGCCAAATTTTGCGTTCCGCCTTGCAAGCTCCTGGGCTGCCTCCTTTCCATCCCGTATTTGGGCCTGGCTCCAAGTTCCATGATTCGTTGGAGAGAAGTTGGGATTCAGAAGACCCTCCACAATGAGGAGGCCAGCCAGAAGCAGGCCCAGGCTCAGCATCGGGTTCATTTTCCTTGGAGATTTTTCTGTTGAGTATTAGACTAGAGGTGAGCAGAAAACAAAACAAAACAAAAACAAAGGGACCCCAGTGTTTGTTCTTACCCACAAGGAAGAGCAGATGCAGAAATGATACTATGATTAGCATGTGCTGTGCACAGTTTAAAAATGGTTTAACATCCACTGTGACATTTATCCTTTACAATCACCCCAGGGACTAAAAATGACTGTCACCATTTCATAAACAAGAAGCCTGAGTGTAGAGGGCAGCTGTGGTTTTTGTACCCCTTTCCCCATCTTATAGTAAGGGTATTTCAATTCCTTTGAGGAACTGCTCCTTCTACTCCATTGGATTACAATAAGAATGCCCCACAGTGTGGGCATATGACTCAGGTTAGGCCATAATATTACTCCAACACTGCCTGGTTAAATAATGAGGCTGTGACCAAAATCAGATCAATCAGTGTCTGTCCTTAAGAATGTATAGGCCTCTTAACTCTGGGGTGTCTGGCTTAATATGCAGCCTTAGAGTCAAACATGGCCATGACTTCCACATACAGAAGGAAAGAAGAGAGAGATGGAAAGAAAGAAATGCAGACACATACTTGGTGACATCTTTGGTATCCCTGGATCAAGCTTTACCTGAAGCTCATACACCTTTATTTTTCCAAGTTTTAAGAGCCAGTAAATCTCATTTTCAGGGTTGGCTGGTTTGAGTTTTGATGTTTCTACTTACAACAAAAAGAATCCTTACTAATTTGCAATAATAAGGCCCTTTGTCTAAGATCACATGGTCTGTAAGTGGTGGATACCCACTGCAGGAGAACCCAGGTATCTAGGAAACCTCCTTCCCTAAACCTTTTCCCAGGGATGAAGAGGGTAGCATCATAGGAAGGAAAAGCCAAACCTCCCTGGCCCTGGGAACACTGATTCTTTCACCTCCTCTCAGCTATGTCATCTCCCAACAAGACTGTGAGCTTTTCAGGGATGAAAGTTTCACTTTCTGTTTTCCCTTAATCTCTAGCCCTAATGCTGCATGTATCTGCCAAAAGTATGGTATTTCAAAAAGCATGTTGTCTCTTTACTTGGACATGCTATTGTCGATGATTTTAAAAATAATTTATATGTCAAATGAAGGCAGATTTCTCTGGTCCTCTTTTATCACATATCATGTATTTTTTAACATCTTTATTGATCTGAAATCCATGGGGAATAGTATGATCCTTGATTGTAAATGGTTGTCTTAAACTGAGTTCCTGGGAAGCAGAACCTGAGACAAGAATTTGTGCATTGTAAGCTCTTAGGAGGAGCCCATTTGGAAATGAGGGGAGCAGGGCAGGAAGGGGAAGGAGCTGAGCCAGAATGTGGCCCCAAGTAACACCCAGCCTTGGTCTGATCCACAGCGGGAGTCTCTGGGGCAGCAGCCACGTGGCAGTAAAGACAAGGGGCTGGTCTTTTGCACAAAGTCAGTCCGTGGTCCCCAGGAGCCTCTCCCTAGGATGCAAGGCCTGGTGTGTGACTTCCTGGAACAATTAGCTCCCACCAACCGAAGGCAGTTTTCCGGAGTGGGGAGGGCAGCTGTGCACTGTTATCAGTCAATCCTCACAGCACCACCAGCCTCGGAGAACCAGACCTGGCACAGACAGGGCCTACTGTAGCTAAATTCCTGGGGCCTGGCACCAAGGCAGCTTTTACTCGTTGTCTGAATGACAGGGTGGATGAACGCCAGCAAGGGCTTGCACTTAGGAGTTCCCTAAATCCCCAAGTTCTTCACGCCCCCCAGCCCTCTCTGCAGGATCCTGAGGACACAGCCATCACCACAGTGCACATGGTCTGCAGAGAGCTTGTGGCCCAGCATTTGAAAGTTCTAGTGGCTACTACCCCTGCTTCCCATGCTGCCCTTCCATCTTCCTTATGGAACTTCATTTCTTTCCCAGATTTCTCTCCTTCCCTCAGGCTGCCCATGTGCCTCAGGGATAGGGTCCCCATCCCCATCTCCAAAAGGGGCCCTTACTGGGGCAGGATAATCTCAAGTTCCCTGTTAGTGACTGGTTCAGGAATCAGGCCTAACCCAGTCAGTGCATGGAGGGGTTCTGCCCTGATAGTTGTTCAAGGAGGGGCCACAGCTGAAGTAATCCAGTGAGGGTGACTTTTAGGGCTTTTTCTTGGAATGTTGGGGTGCTTCCCTCTCTCTTCCTCTGGATGTCCTGGGCAGGAAGGGAGAGATGCCAGGGTCTACCACAGCCATTTGCTCCACAAGAGTAGGGACTCCAGGTCAAAGCCAGAACACAAAGAGGGTACACACAAAGGCTTTGTGGAGAAACAGGGAGCTGGAGCTGCAGGTAGGCTAACCCAGAGCCCACCCCACCTCCAGGCTTCCAGGGAGGCCTGTGTGAGTTATGCAACCAGTTACTCAAAGCTGAAATCTTCCTAACAAATAAAGCATATAGAAAATAATGCTAGGACCAGCAGGCGTTGAGTCCTGGCTCTGATCGCATGCCTCATAGCTGTGTGACACTGTGGGATAGACTTACCCTCTCTGAGCCTAGGTGATCACTAAGCATCTTACACTCCTAATGACACAGGTTTTAGTAAAAATTAAAAATAGCTGGTGATGAGCAAAGGCTGTAGGGTCTGTCAGAAAACAGATTGTAAAAGAGAAGATTAGTAAAGTCCCTGAGGCTGTTTCAAATAAAGGAAAGAAAATGCAAAGGATTCAATTTCTCAGGTTAGAAGGCTGGACTGCTTACAAAGTCTGCCCAGATTAAAAATAGAAGTTTCCTGTATTCAGAGTAGATCGCCACTTGTATGCGCCCCATTTCCCAATGCCTGGCAGTGGAGTTTAGACATGTCAGTCAAGGAGCTGAGAGGACAGTCTCAGCAGGCAGGTTTACCAGCCAGGTTAGATGCAAAGCCATTGAGCAACCCGCCAGGAGCTGAGCGTGGTCAGGTCACAGGGCCGGAACCTGAGGCAGAGAAGGAAAACGGCTGGAGGTGTTTTTTGGTACAGATGGCTCATATGCACCCATCGTTTCATGTGATGTGCACTCAGTGAGTCCTGAAAGTATTTTCTACTCCACCAAGTTTCAGAAACAAGAACTGATTATGGAATTCGAAGTCTGTCTGGATACTGGTCCTGTCCTGATCTGTGTTTGTTAGGTGGTCCAGAACAAGCGTCTACCCTTCAGAGCCTTAGTATCTTAATTGATGGGGTGGGGGTAATACTTTGGCCCCCTCCCCATTATAGATGCTGCTCATCAGCCTGCTGCCTCCAGCTCTCAGCTGCCCCCCACCTCTATGAGCTGGGACACAGGGGGCCCCACAGTCATCCTGCCCAGGCCCACCGAGCGCAGGGGCCTGGCCTTTCTCCCCACTAACAGCCCACACTAGCCCATTTCTGGGCCTTCCAAGGTCATCACAGGCCCTACACTAACTCAAACTTGTCAGATGGGTACCAGTCCCAGATGCCTGAAAAAGCTAACTTTTTATTCCATCAATTAAAATATCTGAGCGACCAGTTATTTCCCAATAAACTGATAGATTGACCAAGTTGAGTAATTTTTTGTTGCTTTTGAGTTTGGAGTATGTGTGCATTTGGATGTCACTGTAATGAAATAAATAAACAAAATAAAGAAGACAAAGAACAAGACAGAAACAGAACCCAGTGGGGTCCACATGGGCAGATAAAGATATTATCAGTATTTCCTCTTTTCTCTGACTATCCTGTTCCCTGAGTCCCTATTAATTTGGGGAAATAACTGCCTTCTCTCATGACTAGGTAGAGCAGAAGAGCCCTGACCCAGGAGTTGTTCATCCCGAGACCAGACCCAAGCCGGGCGAGGAGCCCCCTCCCTCCATCTGCCCGCAGGGGCCTCCCCACGGGGGCTTTCAGGCGGGGCTGCGGGCATTGCTTTCAGCTCCCATGCCATTCCGGACAAGCTTCCTGATGGGAATCTGCCAGTCAAAGAGACTAGGGGTGTGGATGGTGAGATACGACAGCACTTTTAACAATAATAATAACATCTGTAAATTTATCTGGATTTTTTCACACTTGTTACCATCAGTAATTTGGGGAAACGATATACGAACAAATAAAGCACACACAGGATTCAAGAGAACTCAATGCATAGCAGTTTGGAACCATTTACCTGGAAGGAAGAGACCTCGCCCGGCTCCTCGGGGCACCTGTGTCCTGATAGTTTACTACCCCACCTCTCTTCCCTGTGACTGACTGGCAAGGAAAAGTCCATGGGGTGCCTGTTCTCAAGCGAGGGAAACTGCAAAGTTTAGGATGCTTCAGTGAGCTCCCTGCCTCCGTGGCTTGAGCCCTAGTGAGAGCCAGCCAGCCGGAATGCCCCCTGCCAAACGAGGGGGCTCTGTCTGCACAGCCTGGTCACAGGCATGCTGCCCTGCCCTGAGGCACCCCACGCCCGCTGATCTTTTCCTCCGATCTTTTCGGTAGTTCTCCGTGGAACGCACAGCACTCAGTCTCCTCCCTTGGCTGAGGGATCTTAGGGAGCTCTCCTAAAGATGTGCCTTGGCGCCCCGAAGGGCCAGCACCACAGCCCTGGGTTGGACGACATGTCCCAGGTCCTCCCACTTGAACAGATTGGTATTGTGTTAGGAGGAGGTCACTCTAGATGTGCTGGAAGTTATTTATTTATTTTTAATTTTGGTATCATTAATCTACAATTACATGCAGAACATTATGTTTACTAGGCTCCCCCCTTCATCAAGTCCCAAAGCAAGTTTAGAATTAAGTGGTGGTAAGACATGTCCTTTCCCCTGCTGGAAGTGAGAAAAGACCTGTGAAAGAAATCTAAAGACTGTGAAAGAGACTTCATCCTCCTTCCTGGAAACAAAGAACTGGAACGCAAACCCATCCTCTCATCTCTAAGATTGCCCTGGAGATTTCTTCCTTCATTACTTTAAGAAATATTTCAAGCCCTCACTGTGTGCCAAGCACCAGGGCACTGGAGCAACATCCAATGAATGGCCTGTGCCAATGCTGACAACTGACCCACAGCCT